CGCTCTTGGGAACCTTCGGTTTTACACGCATTGTAGACCGCATGTCTCTAAGTCCTGTATTGTGCCAGACAAGTATCACCTTTCAAACTTCTCCTGCCTGCCACTATTTTTCTAAGTACAGGACTACTGGCATGGTTCTTCGCACCATAACAAGCCGGCAATTTCGGCGAGAGTAGTTGCGGCTTGAGTGTGCTTGGTCTGCATCTCCCTAAGGCTCCATGTACCCATATAGTAGATACTTAGGCCTTAAAGTACCTATATAGGGACCCCTTTAAGGCCTAAGTATCTACTATAAAGGTACATGGAGCCTTTGGGTCTGTTCAATCCACGCTGCTTCAGGGGTGGCAGCAGCAGTGCAGGAGAAGACACACTGAAGAAGCAAGCAGCAGCCACCGCAACAACAACGTGCAAGTGAAACGAACAACCTCTGAGGGTCCAAGTACCCAAATAGTAGGGTTTCAAGGTCCAAAAACCATTCAGAGTATGGATTTTGGGACCTAAAGCCTTACTGTTTGGGTACTCGGACCCTCTGGGAACTAGTGACAACTAGATTCAGCGAGAACATGCTATTCGACCACACATAGCGTCTGGCCGAGGCTGCTGCCCACTGGTCTCCGACTGTCTTGACTGAAGTGAACCGCCCCTGGCGTCAGCCGAAAACCGTTGTCTTGATAACATCATGTCTCCCCATGATCGCCCTAAACCCTAAACCCTAAACCCTAAACCCTAAGTTGCTCCGGGGCGTTGGGCTTGCAGCTTACTGGGGAAGGCTCTATAGGACTTCTGCGTGCAGCACTCGGATTTGGGGTTCAGATCTGGCAGCGATACGCCGATACGTAGGCCTCGGGGCGCGAGGCTTGGCCAGGTGAGGCCTTGTTCGACCAGTTTGGGCTTAGGATATAGGGTGTAGGGTTTAGGGTTTAGGATTTAGGGTTTAGGGTTTAGGAATAACAAAATGACCGCAGCAGCTACAGTATGGCATACTAGTGCAAGTACATGAGGACCCCTAGTTAAGCCCTAAACCCTACAACCTTAGATGTTAGTACTGCTTGCTGAGACCTCGAAGTTTACAGCTGTAAGCCACCGTCGAACCTTGATCCTAAAGCCACAACAACTCAATAAACATGTTTGCATCTCGCGGTCTGTGGAAATGTTGGGAGGTTTCTTGCCCCTCCCCATAGGCCCCATAGTAGTTCTTTTTTGTAGCTTTTTTTAGGATCCTATTAGGTAATCCCAAGAAGGAACTACTATGGGGCCCAAGGGTAAACCCTACGAGCCCCGAAGGCTTAAACCCTAAAATCTCGACTGGGATCCTCTTTGTCAAGTCGTGCTCAGCGGGGTTTGCATCACGAAGCAGAGCAGAACAAAATGCACGGAGCTCTAGCAAACCTTGGCCACTCCACTTGAGACAAAACGCAACACAAAGCCCTAAATCCTTAAACTCCATGCAAATTATTTATCGTCACTACGCCATAAGACACAAACCTTTAAGGATCAAAACCACAAACACCAACCCCTCCCGCCTCTAAACCCTGGAAGCCCAAACTCAAAACTGCCTTTGCCATCTTGGCAGGGAGGAACTTGACTCCTTGGCAGAATGTCGGCGGATGGGGCGCAGATGTAGCGACTTACCTACAGGCCATACCCTACCACTTTTTGGGCACACCCAGGATTCCAAGGTAGGCCATCATGATTGCAATGGGGTGTCGGGGGTCTGCACACCACACTCATATAAAGGAAGCCAAAGGAAAAGCGTTGGTAATTGTCTAGGCTTCTATATAAAATTGGCTAAGCAGTCCTGGCTCAGTTGCGAGGCTCTTTCTGGGCGCAGGGCCTGGGGTCGTTTGCGGGCCTATCGGACCATCGCCCTCCAAAGCAGGCTTCAGGGTACAAAGCTTGCAGTCTGCTGCTGTTGCTTGGCTTCAGCACAAACACGTTCAGGTGGAGTGCCCCCCCAACCAAAACCCTAGAACCCTCTAGAAGCCCCCAGAAGCCCTAAACCCTGAACTCTAAACCGCTCAATCCTAAAGATCCTCAATCCTACATAGACTCTGGGCACCTAACGACCCTATACATCACGGATCATCACGCAGTGGACCCGGTGCAAAAGTCAAAAGCCCAATACCTCAACTCCTCCCAACCTCCCAAAAAAGGCTCGAGGTTTACGGTTTAGGGTTGAGGGCTCGGGGTTTGGAGTTCATAACCCCTAGCAACCGGAAGGCTCGGGTTTGAGGTTGAGGGTTTACGGTTTGGGGTTTATACCCATAGGCCCCACAGTAGTTCCTTTTTTGGGCTTATATTTAGGATCCTATTAGGTAATCCCAAAAAAGGAACTACTATGGGGCCTATGGGTAGTTTATAGGCCCTAGAAACCAAGCGTGTCCNNGGGATTACCTTATAGGATTCTAAAGGCCTGTCATACGACCACTCTTCACGTGCTGCGCATGTGATGCTATGAGACAGAGCCACTTTCACGCGGGGACGCTGCATGGCCCCCAACAGCACCGGAAGCAATGTTGAAAGTACTCTTTTCTGCTTCAGACGGATAGCACTGGTTTTCTGAGCGGTCGTGTGTAATTATGTGGAGCACTCGGTTCTTAAGGCCAAGCTTCCGATGGATGCGAAACCAGAAGGTTCCAATAGCCCATGCAGCCAGGATTTGAGATAGGACCCACTGCACCCGGAATCCTAACGATGTATTGCCACCTTTTGCTCAGCCTACATGTTCTGTATATGTATCTATAAATCTAGACAGATACATACATACATACATA